GGAGTGCTAGTCCTTTGCAGGGTTTGCTCGGCTCGGTTGAGGCGGCCCGGAAGTGCCTATCGTGGATCGGAGAGGGACTGATCTCTTCCTGGATATTTTTGCATCAGATACATAGACTTGGGTGGTGGCCACGTTGTTAAACTGGGGTTAGTTCAGAAAACTTCCTATCGTAGCGTGCAAAAGTCGAATGTTCTCTATGATCTCCAAGTGCAACGTACAACTATGTACATAGAAAGAGGTGTCTATGAAATCCTTTTTTATCTTTGTCCTAAAGATTTAGTTACAAAAAGACACTCGATTTAGTCTACTAGTTGGATCTAACTAAGATTGGACCGACACAGGATCCAAAAAAAAATATTCAATGAGTGAAACATCTGCTGAGAGCTTATGGCACAGTTAATTTTAATAAAATTGGAGATTGGACCGAAAAAATAATTAAACTTGACGAATAAGGGGCACCCTAATGTATACATATGTAAATGCATGTTATTTTCGTACCCAACAGACTGAGTCTATATTTTTTTAATTGAAATTAATTATTCTTCTTGACACTGCTGTATAAATACATATCGTTGCCTTAATATAGAAAGGCCCTATCTAACATCGTCGCTGATTTACAAAAAGTCGTAACTAACTAAAAATCGAAAATTTACGTTTTAATTGATTATGATGCAGTTGATCGAATTATGTCTCCTCACATCGTTTTATGCAATAAAAGATTTTAGTTAGTTACGGCTTTGTGCATTTCAGCGACGATGTGAGATAGGGCCTTTCTATATTAAGGCAACGATATGTATGTATGTAGGTATATCTTGTTTATCATAATGCCATTCATGTATGTATGTATGTATATATGTACATTTGTAAATATATGTGTACATATGTATGTACGTAGTATGCACATATTTAGTAGTTTTGTGCCATCAACAGAGAAAATATAATTTTCTTAAGCGTTTACCCTGCTATTTTTTGGGCATAAAATTTAATTGTGGCTAAAAATAGCGCAGCGACACTAAAAAGCAAAACAGAAAGAGACTAAAGAATGTAACGATAAAAATAAAATGAGAAAAACATGAGAACGGTAAGTAAGTAAATGCTTACAAATATGTAGCTATGCATACATATGTACATATCACTAGCTTATAGTGAAAAGTTGCTAAGTCCGGTATTTCAAATTTTACAGAGGAAAATAAAAAAATTTGCAACTCACATTCTTCAAGCACTCATTACGGAATAATTCGAATCAAAGATTTCGCTCAATACAAGCTAAAATAACGGCGTTGATGAAAAGTTGTTGCATTCTTTGGGTGCCACTGTATAGAAAATGTTAGAAACAAAACCAGTTGGATATTTTAAAAAAGTAGGAATTTTTTTTTCGTTTTTGCTACTTGCATAACAATTTGTTTTTTTTTTTTTACAAAAAACCAGACTTAGCAACTTTACACTCTAAGCTAGTCATATGTAAATACATATTTACAAACATCTCACTGTTCAAGTCAACCAGTATTTATAAGCAATATAAGAACAAAAACACAAAGCAAAATCAAAAGAAGACAACTAAAAACAAAAAATTTTCTCTCAAGAGGGTAGAAAACGTGGCATAAAAGAATTACAAGAAAGACTTTTGACAAAACAAAGAAAGGACAATTAACACATTTAGAGGTTTTTTTTTTGCAAATTAAAAGTTCAAAAGTTGTACGAAAAAAAGTAAAAATAAAGAGCATTTGCGACTGTACTAAATATTTTTTTATGTATAATAATATTTTATGGCAATATTTACATATTTTGTGTTAAATGCATTCTTATCACGTTCATATATTTATCAACTAATCTTCACTGTACTAGTTGTACTTAAGTGGGTACTTATTTGTAAACACATAAAATATTATTTTTTATCTTATCAACATTGCTAGCGCTAAATTTAACATTCTCTTAATATAAAATATAAAATAATTATTTTAAGTATGTGGAGATAAAATTTCATTAATTTCGGTTATTTATTTATGGGCATGGCTAACGCTCGTATCTATACTTTCTTTCGGAGTATGAATAATACTTTTTTTTTTGGATTCTAAAAATGGATACTGCGGTTTTTTTTCCAAAATACTGCATTAATACTTTTTTGCTGCCTAAATTTTTTTATACACCATGTTCGCGGAAACACGTTTTAAAAATGCATATACATACATATATACTACTCTGTGAAAAATAGGGACATGCCATATGGACGAGTTTTGATTATTTTCCTTTCGGTTGTTTAATGTTTAATAAAATAATAAAAATTATGCAGTTTTGTCTCGGGATGTACAATAAAGAAATACCTGGTATTATGTGTAGCAATGAGGAAATGCTTTATTTTATTGGAAAACTGCTTCAGTAATGTACTGTAAAAATGTTTTTATTTTTAAATGCAGATATTTAGTCTGTTCCAATAGCAGTCCGGTTTACAGGATTTAGTCAGAACTTATAGGAAGTCGTTCCTATTGACATAAAACCTGTAAGTGGGAACACATTTGAGAGAGTAACTGAGCAACTGTTCCTAGTCAGAAGTTACAGGATTAGCTGATTTGCATGTGCATGCAAAAACAAACAGCGGTGAAAGCAAAGAACCTTATATTTTAATTATTATTAAATATTTATATTATTATAAAAATGGAAGTAAACAACGAAATAGTTGAATATGTATAGATTTTAATAATTATTTAGTCATATTTCAGCCAAATCATTGTAGTACCAATGACATGTAAACAAACCGACTGACGTTTTTACAGGAAATAGTGCTTTTTGCGTTCCTATGGCCTTCTGCATCTGTTCTCCTTTTACTCTCATTTGAGAAAGTAAAATTGTAGTTTGACAGTTCCACAGGTTTTAGTCCGAAGTTCAAAGGAACAGACTAACTGCGAAACGGGATTTTTGCGCAGTAATATACTGTTTTTTTGTCCTAAAAAAGATACGAGCGTTAGGCATGGCTGATAAAAGTAGATCCAATAGTACGTACATTCACACATATGTACAGTGGTGGAAAAATAAATGGGAACGCAACTTTTAAAAAATTTACCTATTTTCGTTTGAAATATAATTGGGTGGATTTTTGGAATTTTTTTTGCGCATTTTCTTTCATACAAAGTATGTTCAACAATTTCTTTTATGACCGACCTATCTCGGCAGCCGATTTGAAAACGTCCTATCTCAGAAATTTGTTCAAGAATACTCTATTTGAGAATGTGGTTGAAGATCGCCGTACATTAGAATTTAATTCAAGGATTCTGATTAAAAAGTTGACAATTTATATGCAATTTTGCAGAATTTAGATTTTTGTACAAAGTTTGATAAATGGATTTATATGACTTTTTAGATATTGAGCTGCACATTTATTAAACAAATAATGAATACAAATAGGTAAAATTTGTTACAATGTCACGTCCTATTTATATTTCTACCACTGTATGTGTTTGCCCCACACAAGCAATTTTATGGTCAAATATGTTCTCCTTATCTTTGAACAATTTGATGATATTGTGTTTATTACATACATATGTATGTACAGACGAGCTACAACGACAGGCGACTTTAAGAGTCCTTAAAACATTGATTTTTTTCTTCGTTCGTTATCTTTGTGCCTTTCTTATCAAGTTTTTATACCTTTCATGAGCATGAAATGGTATTATAACTTTGGTCCGATGTTTGTAAGTACCAGAACAAAAAGAGATAGACCCATCAAAATGTATACTTATATGATCAGAACGTCGAGCTGAGTTGATTTATCCATGTCCGTNCAATGCCCTCACACCCCGCTTGCCCTAAACTAATGCATACATATAGTTATTTATGCCTGCGCCGATTTGTCTTTTTTTGGCAGCATGTGGAGCAGGCGTGTTCGCAATTGCCCTCATTTCTTTTCTGAGCGTTTTTTTTTAGGTGCAAATAATTTCATCTCGAATGTTTTTTACAAACTATGTATCTATGTACTGTTAGTCCAAAGCTAACTTTAGTTGCCGTTTGCGACCATAATACACACATCAGTTTTTGGCTAAGAGTAACTTCATGTTAAAGTGCAATTACAACTTTCGACGTAGTTTGCAGCATTGATTTTGTTGTGATCATCAATTTAAAGTAAAGTATGTTTCAACAAGAACTGAGGAGCAGAAAGTTTCGACTTATCTTGGGAATATTTTTAGACGGTAAGAGCAGACATCCAGCATAGATGGCGTTGTAGTGGGCTATCTAGAGTCTATTTTTTCATTTGCACTATTGGCTAAAGGCGACGAAAATAGTGATTTTGATTAGATGCATACCATTGGATGCGTATGTCTATTATACCTACCTATAACCTTATCTGAACCTTTGAAACCTCCTAGCGAATTTGTGTATTTTCAATTCCTCCTTCGCCATGGCACTATTAACCGGATATTTCAAGGCAAAGCTGCGCAGATTTTGTTTGCTCTTCCTATATGTTTCATTAGATTAGATTAGGAATGGTTATGGTAGCCACACAAGATCAAAACCAAACCAAGTGGACCGGCAAAACATCTATGTTCTAGTTGAGTTTCCGAAAAAATTTAAATTGTGTAGATATTTTTGAAATTACACAATTTTTCATAAGCTTAACCCAATACTATTTATGTAATACAATGGCTCAATCATTAGCTTGATAGTGTTGCCTAATTAACATGTGATTGCGTAGCACGTTTAACATTTTTGTTTCTTATCACAGAATTGCAAAAAACTTGCAATGCGTTATCTCTGATAAGAAGCATTTGATGTTGCCTGATGGCAGAGTACAAGTCAACAGACTTTTAGGAACATGAAGAAAAAAACAAAAACAATTGGAACACACAAATACTACTTAGTTGGAAATTTTCCATTAGCAGCCGGCACATATGCAAACTTAATTGTGTGCATATTTTTTACGAGCAAATTTTGTGAAATTATGTACAGAAATTGAATGAATGTAGTAGGTATGTAGATATGCAAATTGGTAAAAAAAAAAAATCACTTACCCGCCAGCGACCAAATGTATGAGAGTGTCACGTTGATTCTGGGACATAATCGGACTAGACCGCTTTCCGCACTCTTTAAAATGTACAATTAAAATTTCAATGTACACAATTAAATAGAGAAAACAATATTTTACCGGCTACTGCTTGCCGGTTTTATAACACTCCTCTACGTACACAAATTGCGATGAAATATGGGAAAAGCAAATCTATTCAAATAGCAACACAATAGGTTTATTAGCAGCACCGGCAAACGGGTGATTAAAAGTCAACAACTAAAACGACGTCCACGACAACGACAAGTTTTTAAAAAACGTTCCCGCAAAAGTTCGCTTTAGCTGCTGGGTATAGTGAAATTGCGCTGCTTCACGCGGGGATCAGCCGACTGGTTACGATGACTCTGGCAGCTGCAGGTCGCGTAAATATGGCAACTAAAAGGCGTACTACTATATGTACTCCACACACACGGCGCTCGTCGTCGCTTCTACTGCTGTCTATATGTACATATGTATATTGCGCACCGAACCGGGAGTATAGCGTATGACCACCACTATGGATGTGTATGATTGGAGCGTACGAGTGTACAAAGGGGCGCAACGTGCGACGAGGTTACACGATTTTCAGAGGACGGGGGTGCCGCCCGCGACAAGCTCTTTGAGTCCTTTATTTGCGTTTTTTGCTCGCCTTTACGCTTCCGAGGAAGTTTTTTATTACACAAGAGATTGTCGAAAAATCACTTCTTCCTACCGCGCTTATGTAATTCACCCCTCGCTAACAGACCAACTTTGGTGCAGTGGGAGCTCCTACATATATGTATATGCGACTAATGCTGCGTTTCTTCAAAAATGCAGCCTCGAATTTACCTATTCATGCGCTGAAGTAGTTAAATTTTATATTTGCTAATTATTTGACTGAATATTCAAAAGATTATTCTAGAACAACTACAGTTTTAGTTCTGCTTGAGAAATTTGCACAACTAGTGTGAGTTGTATGCGCTGTAAAAGTATCGTTTTTTTTTCTTTGCTATTTTCTCGTCCACAGGGTTCGTTTAACTTCGTTTGAAATGATAATTTTTATTATTTTTTTCACTTTTGCACTTTTAGCGAAAATTATTTCTTTATTTTAGCGTTTGCGTTCGACATCAGCTCTCGACGAAGGCGAATTTTCCATTGAAATAAATTTGAGCTTTTCGGTCATAATAACAAACGTTAGCGTAAAAATGTTGCTGTATTCAACGTAAAGAGAAAACATAACAATTGGAGACAGGGTGGGAGAATATTAATTTTTAAATGCTTACTTAGGGTTTACACCGTACAATACTGCCACACCGTTTGCGAACCCATGCACACTTCTTCAATTGTCTCAATCACTAGGAGTCTTCCTTTAAACTCGTAAATGCCTTGAAATTCAAATGTTATGGTTTTAAAACATAAAATATTCATATGAATTTAAAAAAATTACAATGTTTATCTTTTGCTACGATTTTTAATTTTTTAACTACGCCTTTTTTGGCTATTTTGCTACGCAATTGATTTCGTGAGATGCCAACCCTGCCTGTTATGTTTATAGAAACCAGTGCTGCCACGAGCAATTTTTTTTCCTATCAAAATTACCGATTAAAGGCCTGTATGTAGCTCTCAAGAAAAGCAAAAAATCCATATAAAATGATGTACAAGAAATGGCAGTTCTTAAGGATTTTGCTACGCTTTCTACTACGTTTTTCTAAAATTTGTATGTGAAAAAAGAGTATAAGGCAACCCATGTTTGCAACAGAAATATATGCCCGTTCCATTATTTCTTGAGGAAAGAGTGAGGCAACAGGCTGTGAAGTACCAAAAATGTCAAAATTCTTTGGACACACACACAAAATAGTGGTAAATTTTTACTTGACCGTTTTCTTGAGAGCTGCATACAGGGCATAAGACCAACCAAAACCTACCAACAAATTGTTGAGTTTTTAAATTGTTTGACCTATACGAAGTTTATTAAAAATGTAGAATAACATAACATTCAGTAAAACTAAAACACAGCTAGTACAACAAAAACAAATTAAGTACGTATAAAATTAATTTTACTGTACAGTCTGTACAAATGTTTGTCTCTTTACACATACATATTATTATTATTATCATTATTATAATTGCGTCGGGTATACTCGCGCTGCGACCTAAGAAGTTCTGTTGTGCTTAACCCTATTTGTAATCAATTTTAGGCTATTGAAGAAGTTATGCACTTTGAAGAGCGCCATATTTCAAATTTTGGATGAATAAGACAATCGTTTCCCAAGATGTATCAGTCTGCTAATTACGATACGTGGGCAGTCATAGAGAATATGCTCTTGGGTTTCCTGCACCAGCTCACAAAAGGATATAGACCATGCAAGCGCATTTAGGCTCCAGGCTTTGGAGACAGTGAGCCCTTTCGTTTCCTTTATACCCTTCATGTCCCGGAACCCCGGAAAGATAACTCAGGATTATCCAGGAATGCCTTTATAACCTCCAAATGACCTAGAAGGTCTCCAATTTTTGTTGCTGATCATATTGGGCAGTCGTAGGGAGCTCCAGCAAGCTTCGTTTTCAAACAGAATAGACAAAGGAGGAATGCATGTAATGACATAGAGGGTGCCCATATTGCCTGTAAAGTCGTCGCTGCTTCGTCAAGGTGGCACCCACCTTTACTTGCTTAGCTTTTGGCCATTAGGCCAGTGCCACATATGTGACAGCGGGTCTTACTATCGTATTGAAAGGCCAATAGGTTAGTTTTGGTGAAGACTCTGTCAGGTGGACAACGGTGGACTTCAGTGAGTTTGTTGACAAGTCCTTTACAGCACACCAGTTTTCAGGGCATATATGTATGCACATATATAGTTGAGTTCAATTGAAACTAAGTTGAAGGCACATAAAGTATATACCTTGGATGTACATATTGTATATTGGAAATATTGTAATTACGAATCAGGTATGTACACATATTTACTTTTTTTACGGTCGCCGTTATGCGAAGGCACCGACGAAATATTCATGTAAATAAAGTTTCTAAAATGTTTGGATATACATATTATATATTTTTGCAATTAATTATTATTGTCGCGCTACCTACCAAAATCCAATGTAGCCTACCAACCTACCAATTGGAAAAAAACCTACCAGGTTTGGTAGGAAAAGCTCACGTTTGGCAACACTGATAGAAACGCCTCCTGTTGACTTCCCTCAAGTTATGACCCTGTCCACAGTCGAAAGAAATAACGCAGAATATGTATTTTCGGCAGGGGCCAATTTCCAATTTTTGTTCTGCGTGACATTTTGATTTGAAGTTTCGCTCAATTAAATCAAAAGCAAACGCAGGCAAGCCAATTTTGGGTGACGCAAAAAACAAATTCGACGGATTGCGTTACCGACTGGCCTGAACTTATAAATTTTCGGCAATTGGTTATCTACTGTTTCGTTCGATGTGGAAGCGTTGAGGTTTGCAAGTCAGGGCAAATAGATAGGAAGGTTATCTGACCGAATGTGCAAAATTTCCTTGCTGGGTTTCTTAAGATTCAAGAACAAATAGAGCGCCCTCTGGTTCCATAGCAAAGACATAAACCCATGAAGTTTTCTTACGTTGGGAACTAACGTTACGTTAACGTCATTCAACGAATGTCATGCAACAAACATAACACAATAAAGCTTTAAAAAAGCAACAGGCGATAAATGTCCGATAAGAAGTCAACGTATACATTTTGCGCACAAAACGAACCAACCCATTGGAAATTCAAATCGGAACGACAAAATAGCCGTCGTCAACAGATAAGTGCGCCGACGTCGGAGAATCGAACGAACTACACAAACAAAACAAGTGCTTGAGCAATACTCCAACGTCGACGTAGACGCCCGCAGCAAAAGCGACAGCGAGCGCCAACGAAACCACTTGTCAAAGTTTGCACTGTGTAGAAAATTCTCCAAGTCAAAATTGGAGCTCAACGCGAACGGACGTTTGTGAACGGTGATTTGGTGCAAAATAGTAATTTTTCCAATTCTATGTGTGCACATTCACCAAATTTAGAATTGCAACTATTGCATGTAATTTAAATAGAAGTACATATGTAGCAGCAGAGTTTGCAACTACGCAACAACTAAATAAAATTTGGGGAAAATTCCAATTTGAAACACTTCAAATATTGACAAAGAAAAACATTCTCAATTGAAGTTAAAATAGAAAATTTCGAACTAGAAGGAAATTTTGTACAAATTTGTGCATCGATAGCATTAGCACAACCAAAAAAAATTGAAAAATTGTGTAACAAAATCCAAGTGTAATTAAACTAAATTGCCAAGTTAAGTGGTTTATTGAGGAGTGTGTGTGTGAAAAGTGAAAAATTAAGTAACTTAAAAGTGTAAAACCATATGTGTAATTGGTACAAAACGTTGGTTGGCGATACACGTAAACAGCGAACAACAACAAAAACAAGAACAATAAAAGCAAAAAATACCAATAGCACAACAACGATTAACAGAAGAACTGATATTAACGCGCGGCTCCATCATAAATTGGCGGTGTTGGAGAAGCAGGTAAGCAATTGAATGGGATACGAGGGAGGCAAATAACATAAAATTTGCAAAAATACTTATGTACATACATACATATAACCAAAAAAAAAAGGCAAATAATAGGAGAAAGCAAATAAATAAATTGCATTAAATATTTTGCTACTCTGCCTTGTTGGGTAGGGCAAGCGAACGCACGCATGCCAGAGGGCATGGTGCGGGTTAAAATAGTACGTACGAACAGGGCTGCCAACTATACTTAGCTATGAAGCATGATTCAATAGGTGCAATCCCGTATTCCTCGGACTCGGACTAATAAAACTGTCAAAAAATAAAAATTCGCTCAGAGCGAGAGAGTAACATTGAAAAGTACGGGATCGCTTTCTGGTAAGAAATGGTAACTTCTGTCAACTTCAACATAACCTCCAAATTTTGGTAGTAAATTTTTGCTTATTTGTATGTAAACACATCCAGCTCACACATGTAAATAACAAAAAATACTTTCAAATTCATTAGAATCCACTTAAACAAGTAATTAAATACTTTTCAACATGAATTAGCAGAGTGCACTTTTCTTGTGTTTACAATTTGGATGCCAAACACACTACAGCTGATCGTTTGGCACATTTACCAGAATTTACCAGCAAAAAATTCTCGGACTAAAACTGGTAACTTCTGAAGGAGAGAGAACTGTATTTACTCTCTTTTTTGTCCCCTCACTAGTCAGAGAACCGAGTACGGGCTCGATTTCCAGTAAAATCTTACTGATTCTGACTATTTCTGACTAGTCCGGACTCGTACGGGATCGCAACTAATAATACAAGGTTCGGTAAACTGACAGTTGTCTCTCTCGCACCGCTCCCTTAGTAGCGGCACAATGTTGCTTCTTTGCAAATTTACTTGAAAAAGTGTAGCTTAGGTGTTAAATAAAAGTAAGAGCTTTTGTGCAATATGTTTATTTGTACATGCATATAAAGCACATTTAATTGATGAAAACATAAATTGTTTTTAAATTGGATGTTTACGTGAATCTCATAGTAATTTTTATTTAAATTTGAGCCCTTTTGCAGTTTTTATACCGCTAAATAGCACATCAATTTCGTAAATCACGTAGAAATATTAATATTTCGTTCAATATTTTGTTTACAATGCCAGACATCCTGCAAATACATTAGAATTTATAAAACGAATATCATTACTAATTGCCTACTTTGCGTACTTTCCTACTACTATTTTCGAACCAAGGGAATACATTCTTACCCTTTCCGCGACCTTCGTGAACGCAACCTTTTGTAAGGGAGTGTCAAACCGCGGCTGTCAATAATTATCTAACCTTGTATTATTGAATCATGATTGAGGATAAAAGAGTACCAAAATATGCCAAATAGAAAAATAAAAGTACCATTATTTTGAATTCTTCCCATTTAGCATTAAAATTAGAAACACATTCTTAAATCAAAAGTCCAATGCCAAAGTAAGATAAACTAGTTGTATACACTATAGAAATTAGAAAATTTTAGTTGATTAAAGAAAGTGCACGCAAAGGAGTTCACAAAAATGTATGGAAATATTACTACTTGTCAAAAGTACCATTTTGGCACTTTGTGCCAAATTGCAAAATTAAGTGCCATTTGATGTAAAAAAGGGCCAAAAATG